AAAAAAAAAAAAAAAAACCCAAAACTACATATACTAAATTTAATATATTAATGTTACATTTAATATATTAATATTTAATATATAAATCCCACATACAAAATTTAACTTTATTATAACTGCAGTGAACAACTAAAAATTGAAAAATTCCAAACATTGTCAATGACAATAGCACCAAAAATCAGGAAATAGCTAGATATAAATCCGACAAAAGCTGTGCAGCAGGTACATGCGGAACCCACAGAACACGGATGAAAGAAATCAGAGATCCAGAAGAATAGAACGGTATACATCTTCATGGGTTGAAAGACTTGATTTTGAAAAAGAAAAGCAAAGTTGAAGGACTTCGCAAAATGGTTCAACAACTCTGGAAAACAGTCTTAGTTTCTTCAAAAGGTAAACATGTATCTACCATACGACCCAGTAATCCTGCTGCGAGGTATTTACACAAACTAAAAACTTAAGTTCACACAGAGACTTGTATCCAAGTATTTCCAGCAGATTCATGCATAATAGTGGAAGATGGAACGGCCCAAATGTCCATCAGTGCAAACATGCACCAACAGTTACCCAGCAAAACCAGGAGCCAGCTACTGATCTTAGAGACAGCATGGATGGATCTCCAAAGCACTGTGGCAAGTGAAAGAAGGCACATGCAAAATACCAAATTCTATGTGATTCCATTTAGAGGGAATTCTAGGGGCCAGGAGTCGTGCCTCATGCCTGTAATTCCAGCAGTTTGGAAGGCTGAGGCAGGCAGATCACCTGAGATCAGGAATTTGAGACTAGCTTGGCCAACGTGGAGAAACCCTCTTCTCTACTAAAAATACACAAATGAGCTGGGCGTGGTCGTGGGCGCATGTGTAATCCCAGCTACTCAGGGGGCTGACGCATGAAAACCTCTTGAACCTGGGAAGCGGAGGTTGCAGAGAGCAAGATCGTGCTACTGCACTCCAGCCTGGGCGACAGAAGGAGACTGTCTTAAAAAAAAAAAAAAATGGAATTCTAGGAAAGACAACCAGCAGTGGCAGAAGCTTACAGGGGGCTGCTGGGAAGGGGCTGGGGTGAGCGGGTGGGTGCACAGGGCCATGAGATAATTTGTCGGGGTGATTAAAACGCCCTAGGTAATAATGCTGTCATGGGACCATCTCTACACATTTGACAAAACCTTGCAGGTAAATTATATGGCAACAAAGCCACTTTTTAAAAAGAAGAAAAAGAAAAGGGTGGGTTTGAATTCCCAGTTCTCCTTCCAGCTGCACAACTTGAGCCAATTAGGACGCCTCGTTGAGCATCTGTTTTCTCGTTTCTAACAGGCAATATAAGAGCAGCTGCATCCCATTGTGGCTAGAAGTATTAAATGCCTTCATTTCACGGCAAGGTTTACAGTCATGCCAGGTGAAATCCATATTAGCCGTTAGAGGGAGCGTTCCTCTCTTTGCGGAGGGGTTTGGAGTAGAGGCACAAAAGATGATCTTACAGGCCAGTTCACCATTCATTCTCATCCCTGAAACGCCCAGCGCTTTCCCTACACTGTCTTGGGAGCAGCTACCTGATGAGAGCACCTCGCCCAGCTGTCTTCTCAGGACTGAGCTGCTGCCCCTTTCCCCGCCTGTCCCCTAGCAGCACTTCCCACCACCCCGCCGTCATCACACATCGGAAAGCCCTTGTGAGCCCCAGGGAAGCAGGTACTGGGCTCTGATTCCACAAGGAGGCTTCTGGGTCTTCCATTTTACCTGCCTGGATGGCTTAGGACTTTCCCATGCTCTGAGGCTAAAGATTTGGCACCTGAGTTTTAAAACCTTTCCCCAGCCGGGCGCAGTGGCTCACGCCTATAATCCCAGTACTCTGGAAGGCCGAGGCGGGCAGATCACAAGGTCAAGAGATCAAGATCATCCTGGCTAACATGGTGAAATCCCGTCTCTACTAAAAGTAAATACAAAAATTAGTTGGGCGTGGTGGCACGCGCCTGTAGTCCCAGCTACTCGGGAGGCTGAGGCAGGAGAATTGCTTGAACCTGGGAGGCAGAGGGTGCAGTGAGCTGAGATCGCGCCACTGCACTCCAGCCTGGCGCCTGGTGACAGAGCGAGACTCTGTCTCAAAACAAAGAACAAAAACAAAAAAAACAACCTTTCCCCAGCACTTCCCAGAGACGTTCTCCTGCCCTTCCCTGGCCACTTACCTGGGCAGAAGTCATTAGTGCTTCCAAGAAGGGAGGATGTTGGGTTTCCGTGTCAGCTGGCACTGAGGCCCTTAATCTGGATGGGGTTTTTTAACTCCCCACAGCCTTCTCTGCCAGTTCTGTTTCCAGTTGCATCTGCCCCTGGGTCTCCACCGTTCCTCTGGAGGGATTAGGCGAACCGCGCAGCTGCCTAAAACCTCACATCTTGAGGGAAACAGTCATTCAGTGTCTGACCTCTGGGCTCGCTGTCTCGGACTCTAAGCTGCCAGGGAACCAGGGCTTTCCACCCGGTGGGACTGCCTGGGAGCTTTTTAAATGCCCCTGCCTGTCCCCCACTCCCAGAGATGGTGACTTCCTGGGCCTGGGCATTAGGAAGACTTTGTTAGACTCCCTGATGATTCTTCTGTCCAGGCCAGGCTGAGAACCGCTGGTCAGAGAGACCTGGGCACATCCCAAGGGTCACCCAGAACCAGGGGGTGCAAGTGAAGAAATGAGAAGTTGCTGATTGCCTCACTGAGCGGTGAAGCCCAGGCTTGACCACGGATTAGGCCAGCTGGACCCAGGGGTTCAGGCGGGAGCATCCCTGCTTCTCTCTGCGCTGCCCCATGGGCCCCAGCAGCCTGGGCCCACATCCTCTCACTCGGAAGCCAGCTCTCATTGGGCTGGCTGGGCTTACAGCTCCACCCTGGAACCATCCATGTGGCCCCGAAGGGCCCCTCAGGGCTCAGACAGCCAGACCTGGGGTGGTTGAAGGCCAAGAGCCAGGCCCTCTGGAAACCACACAGCCAGGAGTGGGAGGGGGTGCTCCCTAAGGGACAATTGAGGCGCTGGCTTTCAGAGTAGGGAAAGAGAATGGGTATGAGGTGGACAGAGCCATTACGTCACCCCAGAGAGGCTCTGTCCCCCGCCCTGCTGAGGGGGAGACAGTAGGAGAGCAGCCACAGGTCCAGCAGTGTGATCACAGGGTCTGGGGTCAGGTGCTGGAGCGGCATCCAGCTCCTCCACCGGCCAGCTGCACCCTGGCCCTCAGGGCCTCCCTCCCCTGGGACAGGGGACAGTGCCGGGCAGTGTTGTGGGGTACAGGCCCTCTGTGTGGTGAGCATGCTGAGAGCTCAGAGAGGGTGGATTTGCACATGAGCGACCACCTGTGCAGTGTCCACCCAGCCATCAATGTGCTAGACCCAGGAAAGGACTCGGAGCGCTCTGCCGGAGCCCACTGTCACCCACAGGAGCAAACTGTCTGGGCCCACAGCCTCTGCTTCTTCCCCTCCTGTCCCCTAAACGCCAGCCCCTGGCCAGCCTGGAGGCGTTTCTGACTGACCATGGCTGTCAGTCCTCTCGCGAGCCTTGCTCCAGCCAGACTCCTGCCTTGGGTCTCTGCCATCCCGGCACTGACACCCACAGGCAGAGCTGAGAGGGGCCCCCAGGAGTGTCGTCAGCAGCCAATCCCAGAAGGCATGCATGTCAGATGGTTTCTGGAAATCGAAACTCAACTCTGTTTCCTGAAACATTTCCTGGGATCAGCCTGAGCACGCTCCATATTGGGAGAGGCTTCTGGATCAAAGGACCGGTCTGCAGAGGGCTCCTGTGGCTGGAAGCCAGGAGGTTCCAGCACAGCCATCGCAGCTGCCCCAGCCAGGTAAGCTCCTGCCTCCAGCTGGGCACCCCTGCCTCTCTGTCTCTCTCTCTCTCTCTCTTTTTTTTTGACAGGGTCTCACTCTTTTGCCCAGGTTGGAATGCAGTGGGGCGATGTCGGCTCACCGCAACCTCTGCCTCTTGAGTTCAAGTGATTCTCCTGCCTCAGCCTCCCAAGTAGCTGGGATTATATATGCCTGCCACCACGCCTGGCTAATTTTTGTATTTTTAATAGAGACAGGGTTTCACTATGTTGGCCAGGCTGGTCTTGAACTCCTGACCTCTGGTGATCCACCCACCTCGGCCTCCCAAAGTGCTGGGATTACAAGTATGAGCCACCGCGCCTGGCCAGGGCACCCCTCTCTACACAGGCAAGTGGGGGTCACGCCTCCCTGTTTGCACATAGGCCTGGAGCTGGGGGTCCAGTGCTCCTGAGCCAGCAGCTATCCTTGCTGCTCCCAGGCCCACAGGGCCTCTCTGCACGGTTGGGCAGGTTGCTTACTGCACAAGGATACCAGCCAGAGGGGCAAGTGGGCTGGAATTCAGCTTGGCCCTCTTTCAGGTCTGTGCATTGAGCCTAGGCCTGCACCCACCCCAAGGAAGAGCACCTTTTTTTCAGTTCACATGAAGGCACCCTAGGGGTCAACACAGATAGTCGGTCTCAACTTCCTATATGAAGGAATCAGGGAAAAACACCCAGCCACTGCCACCCAGAGGGCAGCAATGGTGCCTGCCTGGTGCTTCATTGTCCACTTTTTTTTTCTTTTGAGATGGAGTCTTGCTCTGTCACCCAGGCTGGAGTACAGTGGTGTGATCTCAGCTCACTGCAACCTCCGCCTCCTAGGTTTAAGCGATTCTCTTGCCTCAGCCTCCTGAGTAGCTGGGACTACAGGTGCACACCACCGTGCCCAGCTAATTTTTTTTTTTTGGTATTTTTATTAGAGATGGGGTTTTACCATGTTGGCCAGGCTGGTCTCGAACTCCTGACCTGAAGTGATCCACCCACCTCAGCCCGCCAGAGTGCTGGGATTACAGCATGAGCCATCGAACCTGGCCAGTTGGCCATTTCTCCAAGGCCTTGAGTTACTCTCTCAGGACAAGCAAACCTGGTGGCTACAGCAGAGGGAAGTGGCTGAGGGCAGAGTGGAGAGGGGGACCACCCGCCCCAGCGTGCCTGGGACCGAGGGGTTTCTCAGAACACAGGGAATCTTCAGTGCTAAAACCAGCACAGTCCCCAGCACACAGGACAGGTGGTCACACACCCTGGCCCCTTCAGCCAACTACTGACATCAACACGGGGGAGAGGTGGGCTCTGCCAAGCAGACCCCCGGCCTGCGGCTCACCAGCTGTGGACATGGCACCCATTTGCCTCTCTGGGTGTCAGCTTACTCACTTGTAAGGTGGGGTGTTACCAAGGTGGTTCTCAGGGTCACAGTAAGGCCTCCAGTGGTATCTAGGCAGCCCTGACAAGGGACAGCCATGCACTGCCGGTGGGTGCGAGTCCGTCCCAGAGCAAAGCTGCTCACCAGCCAGTGCACCCAGCCCAGGGGGCTTGTTCATGCGGACTCCCATGCAGAGGGCCTGGGGCGAGGCCAGCCTTACGTCCACTTCCGACAAGCTCTGGGGATGCCCCTGCAGCCACCCACCAGGCCCCCCGAACAATCTCAAGGTCACCAGGCCCGGACTCCCAGCCAGTGCCCATAGCAGTGCCACCAGGGGCCTGCCCCCGGCTTGCTGGACTGAGGGGACGGCCAGGTGTCACAGGATTCTTACCGAGCCAGAGAAACCATAACTGTCTCTCCATTGGCAGGGTGTGGGGAGGGAGGCAGGGGGGCCGCTGGCCACTGCAGACAAAGACAAGCTTTGAAATTATACAGAGGCAGGAACGCCAGGCCCGAAGGTGGAGACTCAGGCCAAGCTGAGCATCAGTGTCTTGGGGACACTTCAGCATTTACTCCCCATTCTTCCCCCAGCAGGCCCCCCCCCAGGCTGCAGCCCTGAGCCTCTTCCCACATCTTCCCCATCCGAATACCACGGAGCCCCGACGTGTCTCCCTGCCCCGACGTGTCACTCCTGGCCCAGATTCTGTGGCCTCTCCTGACGAGTCCCCTTCCATCCAGGCTGCGGGCTCGTTTTTGTCTGCTGAGACCTCTGGGACGGTTCCTGCAGGGTGTGTTGCCTGAAGATTAAGGCCCAGATCTTAACCAGGCTCCCCCGGCTTCCCAGCCTGGGCCCATGCCCATGGCCTCCTCCCCCTCCACCCTCCCCCATGCCTGTGTTGCAGCCTTGCCCGGGGTCTGGTTTTCTGGGATGGGCTCACTCGCCTCCAGTCACCAATTCTTGCTGTCCTTACTGCCAGGGGCCACCCCCAGCCAACCCCTTCATCTAGCCAAGTCTAACACATCTTTCCAGGACCACGATGCAGACCAGGTGAGGGGCCCCTGTGGGGGCAACCACAGCATCCGTCACACTTACCGAGACCATAGTGGGCTCTGTAGGAAAGGGACCCTGCCTGCCACACAGCCCAGATTGGGCTGAAGGGTGGATGGGCAGGCCAGTCCCTGGGCCTCACTGCATCACTTCCGTCCACAGCAGGATCTGGGCGTCCAGGCAAGGCCATGGCCCCTCTGAGGCTCTTCTGGGTGTGGCTGCTGGTTGCAGGGACCCAAGGTGAGCTGAGCCCCTGGGAAATGCCAAAAGCAAAGGTCCATGAGGCTGCTGTGCCCTGGGTCTGCGTAGAACGCCCAAGAGAGGTTGTGCCCAGGGTTTGAGGCCCGGTAGTTAGCTGAATCTTCTCTCTTGCTTGAAGCACCTGGTATCCCAAGTGATCGTGGCTTGGAGGTTCCAGGGGCTCACCTGCACTCAGGTGAGCTGCAGGTTATAGAGAGGACACCAAGGAATTCTCCATTCCTTCCAGAGGGAACCAGAGGAACTGATCAAACCAGCAGTCACAGGGGGTGTTGTGGGGTCCATGGCCTTGGATGTAGGTCAAGCTTCCAGAGGGTCCCGGCTGCCTTCCCTCACATTTTTTACACTGTGAGCCCCTGGAGTCTCATTCTCATCCTGGGGGCCCCACGGAAGCCAGATGTGCCCCCCAACTGAATTCAGCTCCTGCCCGGCTCTGCCAGCTCCTGTAGGGGCGAATGTCGGTGGGCGGAGTCCCAGAAGGACCTGTGTGGGGTGGGAATCCCATTCTCTGGATTCCTGGAAGTATTCCGCCTGTGCTCCCAGGGGTCCCTAGGCCTGGCCCCCACTAGGCTAGCACCCCCAAACTGCAGACACCCTCAGGAGGGCTTAGCATGGGGCCGCTTCTCCCCCCACCATCCTTCCCTCGGGGTCCTGCCACCTCCACTCTCAGTGCTGGAGAACCCAGGGCTTCTCTGCCCCTGTTCTATCTATGGAGTGAAGGGCTGAGACCCCTAAAACAAGGAACGGCGAGTTTAGCCTCCGTGTGGGAGGTCTGTATGTATCTTCCACTCCCCCCTCACAGAGTTGCCCCTCACGGAGAGGCAGGGGGACCTTGAAGCACTGGAAAACAAGCTCAGCAGGGGACACCCAGGACAGCGTGGGGGCCCTGGAGGTTGGGGCGGGGTGCTGCAGGCTCCAGCCTCACCCTCGCTGGTCTCTCCCTGCAGCCGTGAATGATGGCGACATGCGGCTGGCCAATGGGGCCACTGCCAATGAGGGCCGCGTGGAGATCTTCTACAGAGGCCAGTGGGGCACTGTGTGTGACAACCTGTGGGACCTGACTGATGCCAGCGTCGTCTGCCGAGCCCTGGGCTTCGAGAACGCCACCCAGGCTCCGGGCAGAGCTGCCTTTGGGCAAGGTAGGACCTGCTGTCCCCATCCTCCGAGGCTGAGACCCACAGCACAGCCAGCTCCCGGGAGGAGCGAATCCCCTAAGACAAGACAGTCAGGCTTCAAAGACATGCAAATTGTATTCCTATTAATTTAGCAAGAGCAAACACTTTTTTTTTTTTTTTTTGAGATGGAATCTCACTCTGTCACCCAGGCTGGAGTACAGCAATGTGATCTCAGCTCACTGCAACCTCCGCCTCCTGAGTTCAAGCGATTCTCCTGCCTCAGCCTTCTGAGTAGCTGGGATTACAGGTACCTGCCACCACGCCTGGCTGATTTTTGTATTTTTTAGTAGAGACAGTGCTTTGCCATGCTGGCCAGGCTGGTCTTGAACTCCTAGCCTTAAGTGATCTGCAACCTCAGCCTCTGGAAGTGCTGGGATTACCACGCCCAGCCTGAGTGCAAACACTTTCGATGGCGCGGAAGCCCTGTGGGTCCTGCTCAGTGGAACTGCCTTCCACGCCTGGCTGGTGAGGTGGCCGGAGCTTGGGCAGGTTCAAGAGCTCGGCTGGGCTCATTCACTCCGGCCCTGAAACTCCACTCCAGGGAGTTTATATTCTTGAAACAATTTCCCCTCAAAAGAGAAGTCTGTACGCAGAAAGATTTCCACTGATGCAGCAGTTGCGATTCTGGGAAAAAAAGAAATAATCCACCCACTATTTAGCAGCAAGGATAGTCACACAATTGCAGGATATGAACCTGATGTCGCAGGGATAGGCACGCAGTTACAACACATGAATCTGATGTCTGCAGTAGCCAGAAAGCTTCATAAGCACGAAGGCTAAGTTGATGGCCTGACCTTGCAATCACAAATCCAACCCATGCTGGAATATCCACCGTGGTTCACCGGTGAAGGACCCGCCCGGCCGGTGCGGGGAACAAAGGGCTGAGTCGCACTGCGGGGCTGCTGGGTGCAGTCCTCAGGCCCCAGCCCTGCCATCTGCTGCATCCACAGGCTCGGGCCCCATCATGCTGGATGAGGTGCAGTGCACCGGAACTGAGCCCTCGCTGGCCAACTGCACATCCCTGGGCTGGCTGCATAGCAACTGCAGGCACGATAGGGACGCCGGTGTGGTGTGCACCAACGGTGAGTGTGGGGCCCCAGCATGCCCTGGGGTCCCGTGGCCACTGCCCCCCCACACACACATGTGAAGCACACAAAGGTTCCTTCCACTACTGCCTGCCCGCTCCGCATGGAGAGGCCCTGATCCAGAGAGCCCAGCAGCTCCCAGTCCCACAGGCCCAGACTCCTCCCCAGCCCCGTCTGGAGAAACACCCCAAGGAACCTGAGTGCGAGGCAGTGAGACAGTCCCAGTGGGGACTGGCTCCAGCCTGACCTGAAATGCCAGCGCCCGCTCGGAAACACACTCCCCGGCGTGACAAGCTCAAGTCCATCCTGGTGGAGGGAGGCCCGGCTACTCACAGCCGCAGCCTGCTTCCTCCCAACCCGCCCTGATTTGCAGGGAACCCAGGCTGCTCTGCAGGCTGGAGCCCCTGGATCTGAGTTTTGTTGTTGTTGTTTTTGAGATGGAGTCTCACTCTGTCGCCCAGGTTGGAGTGCAGTGGCAGGATCTCAGCTTTCTGCAACCTCTGTCTCCTGGGTTCAAACAATTCTGCCTCAGCCTCCTGAGTAGCTGGGATTACAGGCACTTGCCACCATGCCTGGCTAATTTTTGTATTTTAGTAGAGGCAGGGTTTCACCATGTTGGTCAGGCTGGACTTGAACTCCTAACCTGGTGATCCACCCACCTTGGGCTGCCAAAGTGCTGGGATTACAGGTGTGAGCCACAGCGCCCGGCTGGATTTGAGTTTCATGGTTTTCTTTCCTCTCCTGATGGCGAGGTGGCTCTTCCTGGGCTTGCCGCCCACTACCCTTTGTCAGGAGCCCCTAAGGCAGGAGGGGTTGAATCCCAGGGAGCCCCTGTGCTCACGTGGGACAAACAAGTGGCTGGAGCTGAGCCTGGCCTCACAGTGGGGGAAGCCCAGGAGACACCATGGGGCTGTCGGGGGTTCAGTGGGGGGAGGCAGGTGAGGGGGGCACGTGGGGCCGTGGGTGCAGGGCAAAGGCTCCTGTGGCAGGGGAGCTGTGGTGAGGAGCAGGTGGGAGGGAGCTGGGGGCTCAGGTGTGAGGAGGCCCAGGGCGAGCCCACCCGGTTGAAACCTCACAATTACTTCAAACCTATTAAAACCTTTGTGGCAAAGAAAGAACCTATGGGATTTAGTTTTGAGTTAGCCTTGAGAGGGCTCAAAGAAGGGGGGAGGGTGCAGCACACTGACTCCCGACCTGCGAGCCTCCCATGACTTCTCCAGGCCTTGTGCCTCACAGGAGGCTGCTTGGGGACCCCCAGAGTTCTAAAATGGGGTTGCCACAGGACCCTGACTTTTCAGGCCATCTAAGCAGGCAGTGGTTTTGGTTTGAGGTAGGCAGCGTCTGTGGTGATTGACTGACTGAGGCCGGGGAGTGGGGCTCCGAGTCAGCACCACCAAGTCCCCAGGCGGGGCTGCTGCCTGAATCCGAGGGAGCAGAACAGAGCAGAGGGCCTGATGCCGGAGTCTGGACGGGCTTGGCCAGGTCTCAGCTGCTCTAGTTCCGCAGGGCTGGAAGGGGTGGGACCTCGGGGCTGGAAGGGGTGGGGCCTCGGGGCCGGAAGGGGTGGGCCTCGGGGCCGAAAGGGGTGGGGCCTCGGGGCCGAAAGGGGCGGGGCCTCGGGGCTGAAAGGGGTAGAGCTCGGGGCTGGAAGGGGTGGGGCCTCAGGGCCGGAAGGGGTGGGCCTCGGAGCTGAAAGCGGTGGGACCTCGGGGCTGGAAGGGGTGGAACTCGCGGCTGGAAGGGGTGGGGCCTCGGGGCTGAAATGGGTGG